GGGCATTGATGTAATTTTAGGGTTTGTCATGGGTTAATATCCATAATCATCAGCGTGGGGCCCAGGCTGTGCCGTGTGCCGGGGAGCAGCACCCTCCAGTGGGCCGGGACTGAATTCCTGGGGATGCTTTGGTGCTRTTTGGGCTTTACAAAAGGTGCGGTTACAGCTCAGGTGTGACACACGGAGCCTTGTGACATCGCTGCCGTGTGTTTCAGGGATCCCTGACATCCTATGGGGTTCAGGGTGGAGAGAGCAAGGAAAGGTTCTGATGTTTCAGAGGGTGCTGGCACTGCCCAGGGAATGGTCTGAGGCTGCCAGAGCTCCCGGAGCATTGGGACAGCGCTGCCAGGGATGCACAGGGGCGGATTTTGGGGCTGTGCAGAGCCAGGTGCTGGCCTGGCTGATGCTGTGGGTCCCTTCCCTTTGATTCCATGGTTCTACCCSAGGTCCTGTGGCTTGCTCAGGTCACGGCCAGTACAAACCTGCCAAACCCGTGAGCAGCTCCGAGGGCAGCTCTGGGAGGTTCCCGTGCTGTTTTGTCTGCAAACGTGTCCTTGAGTTATGGAAAACACTGCACTGCCCCAGCACGGCTCAGCTGTCACCTGAGGATGCCTTTTACCTCAGGGGACCTGTGCCCAGGCTGCCCTCGCTGTGCTGGTGCCAGCGGAGTGGAARGAGCTCTCCAGTGTGGGCAATGCCCGCAGGAGCTTTGTCCTGGAAAGCAGAGAACAGGCTCAGCCTGCAGCACAGCGAGAGAAAGCAGCACCTTCACCCGTGCTCTGCCTCCCTGGCATTAACTCATTGCTGCCCTCCACTCTGCTGTTCCTGCCTCCCCTTGCCAAAGCCATCGGTGCAGCCCAGCCTGGCCAGGATGGAGCTGAGTTTACAGTGGCAATAAAGAACCAGCCCTGGAGATGCTTTGGGAAACAAAGTGTTCCAGCTGCACTGACCTTGCAGGGGAAGGCAGCCCAGCCGTGGGTAGCTCAAGGTCACCCCGAGTTCTCTGGTGCCTTTTTTTTTTTTTTTAATTGTGATGTGTTTCCCATAGTGAATGTGAAACTTGTATTTTACACCTTTTTTTTTTGTGGGAAAAGCAATTCCAGCAATGTCCCCAGTGTCACCAAGGGTGTCGTGTCCTTACAGCCCCTCTGCTGGGATGGAGTGGCCTCTCCTCAGTGCCCACAGCCAGAATTTCCAGCACAARGAACCAAACTCACAGGGAAGCCAGCAGGGACAAGGAGCTGTAAAACGGCAAGACAAGTATGGAATATTTTAAAGTGAAGTATGGAATATATTTGAATAAATATTTATTGTTTGAGTGTACAAAAGCAACKGGAAATTTGCACATAAGAAAGGGAGAAAAAATTTTAGGGAAGGATGGTGGGGAAGGCTTGGAGATACAAGGCTCAGGGAGGGGGAAGAGCAGGGCTCTGTCAGGGCTTACCCAGCTCTGTCTGGGGTAAAGCAAAGATTCACAAATAAAGAATTCCAGAATGTTTAAATGAAGATGGAATTTGGAAGGAAAAGCAGCAGTAGGCAGTGGTGGAGGCTGAAGGGAACTCAAATCCACACGCGGACAAAGTGCCTCGCCCCATTTTCATGATGGGCAGAGATCCGGAGCTGGATCTGCCTAAATGAGATCAAACCCCAAAGATGGATTGTGCTCTGCTCTGTTTCATCCCAGGGAACAGTCAGACTTAAAAGTCCAGCCTGGTCAGCTCTTCAGTGACTGACTCATCAGTTCTTCAGTGAATTTCAAGATGAAGGATTCRTAGAGAAAATGGAAATTTGGGTCATTTGCTCAGGAAGAAGATGGAAAAAGAAAATGAGTGAGTAGAGACCACGTCATCCAGGCCAAGGCACAAAATGAGCTGTRACAGGAACAATTACAAAGTGTCTGAAAGGATCCTCTCTTCAGGACAGGAGGAATGACAAGGCCAAGGAAAGATCGAGTCCCTTACTGAGAGCAGGGGAAGGGAGAGGGGAGCTCCCACCAATGCACCTGAAAATACCTGAGCTGTGGAGGAACGGCAGAGAACACGGGATTGATTTCAATAGATGGAAACAGTGAGCAGCTGCCTCCCTCCCACGTGCTCTCATTTTCCCCTGCTGCCAGAGAACACGGATGTTTCTTTATTTATTTACTCCTAATTACCGAGTTCCAGACTGGCCCTGATGAGATAAATGCAGCTCAGGATGCTGCTCTTGCCCTTCTCTTCTCTCGGGTTGTCTCCCCAGCATCCACATCCAAACCTTGAGAAAATTCCACCTCTCCAGCCCCAAACACCGTGGGCTCTCAGCCCCTTCCCCACTGTCAGGCAGGCATTTATCCCGCTGCACAGGGCATGGCACAGCCAGCAAAACCTGGGCTAGATCAGTGGAAAAAAGGTGGAAAAGCAGGAGGGAGAACAAGGGCAGTGGGAGAGGTCTGTGCAGGTTCCTGGCACTGCTCATGAGCCCTCAGCTGGGATTTATGAGGCTGCTCTTTCCATTCCGGGGGATGAGCGTTCCTTTTTTCCTGGCTGCTGGTGYGATTGCTCACCTTTGCCTACCAAACCCTGCACTTTCCCCAGCTGTGTTTCTGCCCAGCAAAACCCCTGGATCTGCGTGCTGGTCTCTGCAGGACGTGGGTTTGACACAGCCCAAGTTCTCCTGGAAATTACCTGTGCCRCCACACCTCTGCTCTCTGCTTCACAGAGCCTCCTTGGAGGACAAACTACCAGGGAAGGAAAGTCAGTCTGGAACAARCTTTGCTGCTTGGTTTTTGGCCCAAAAGCTTGTCCAGAACAGATGGAAACCTGAGCAGAGACACCCAGCAGGACCTGAGCTCTCTGTGTTCAGTGAGGGCAGAGCAGGGACGTTTCTCTCCATCGCTCCTGTTGTTTAGCAAACACTTCTCCCGATCCCAGCAATCCTCTTATCTGACAGAAGCACTTCTCTAAGCCCCTTCAATCATTCTCCACGTCCAGAACAAGTTGTCAGCCCAAATACCCTCCYGGAATGGTGTTTGTTTTCCAAACACGGCTCTGTTTGGCGGCTGCACCGTCTGCAGTGGCTGGAGGGAGATAAAAGAGAGATGGCTTGGCTGAGCAGCTCAGATCCCAAGGGAAGGGCCACGTGGGCCAGGTTTGCCTCTGCTCAGGGTCTGTCCCCAGGGGAGAAGCTCCAGGTGCTGAGGAAAGCCCCAGTTTGCAGCCAGAGGTAAGATTTAGTGATGTGTTTAGGGCAGGGCAATGGGATTTCCCTTCATCCCAGTTCAGTTCCAAACCCCTGCCACTCTGGGTCTCCCCTCAGGAAGGTTTTTCTCCATGTCTCAGCAGTCACAAGAAGGTGTTTTGTTGCAGATGTAGTTTGACTGAAAARCTCAGAGTAGCTCTGGGAGGTGTCTCTTCTGCTTACCCAGCCTGAAAAAGCAAGATTTCATCCTGCAGATGGGAGCCCCTGGTTGCTGCAAGCCCCTGCTGCAATTCAAAATTCTGTGTCGTGTTGAAGGAAAGATTAATTTGCAAATTTCCTCCCTCACCCACATGTTGAGTCCTAAGTATCCCTTTGAATATCTCAACATTTCCCAATTAAATTTCTGCCTGAGTAGCAATGTCTTGAAGGCAGTCAAAGTTCTTGGAGGAGTTTTAGTTCCAGTGAAATAATACTGTCTGACCTGAGCCCACGCTGCTGTCCTGTTTGACAGCAGGGCCGTGAAGGAGCAGGGGGGCTCTGTCTCTCTGCCCCTGATGTGAGGGTTGTGTTTAATCAGCTCCGTAAGTGACAACAAACGAATCAGTCTTGGGGAAATGCTTTTCTCTTTGATTTGCCTGAGTTTTTTTCTATTTATTTATTTATGTGTTTATTTATTTATTTATTTATTTATTTATTTGCCCACCCGTGCCACAAGCCCTGGAGCTAAGCCCAGCCCCTGTGTTTGTGCCCGCAGCCCTCCATGCCCGCCCGCTCTCCGGCCGTAGCTGTCCTGGGGCCATGGAGGACACGTCCAACCCAAAGCCAACGCCGAGCAAGGACTCCCTGAGGCCACAGGAGCCTCCTGCCAGCTTCATCAGCTTGGAGGAGCAGGAGCCCGCAGAGCTGAGCCCCAGGGAGCTCATGGTGCAGGGAGCCCGCGGTGYCTGCAGCTGCAGCCGCCCCGCGCTCGGCCGTGCCCTGCGCCGCCTGTTCCCCGTGCTGGACTGGCTGCCCCACTACGATCCCCGTGCCCAGCTCCTCGGGGACGTGGTCTCAGGGCTCCTGGTGGGCATCGTGGCCATCCCTCAGTCCATCTCCTACTCCATCCTGGCCAACCAGGACCCCATCTACGGCATCTAYACCAACTTCTTCTGCAACATCATCTACGCGGCCACGGCCACATCGCGCCACGCCTGCGTGGGTTCCTTCGGGGTGCTGTGCCTCATGGTGGGGCAGTCGGTGTCACGGCACCTGCAGATGGCAGGGTATGGGGACAGCGCTGCCCTCGGGGCCAACTCCAGCTCTGCCAGGAACGGGACAGAGGCCTGTGACAGGAGCTGCTATGCCATCACCGTGGCGCTCTCCTTGAGCTTTCTGGTCGGGCTGTACCAGGTACATGTGCTCCCTCTGCTGCTCTTCCCTCCCAGGAGTTTCTCTGAGTTGGATATCTCCAAGCTCCAGTGTGGGTTCAGATTTAGCAGTCCTGAGAAACGTTTCTAAAACCCTCGAAATCCTTTGAATGCAGTGATTTTAGAAAGTGCAAACGCAGCTGAGTGAGGGTGATTTCCCTGATGGATAACCGGGTCCTTGGAGGTGCCTGGAACATCCTCAGGATYTGCCACAGCGAGAGAGAAGGGACTGAACCACCTTGCCCCACCCCAGTCCTCCCCTGGGCAGGTTCAAGCAGCTGTGGGGCTCACAGTGATTGTCCCCAAGGATCCTGCCATGCTCCTGGCACTGTCCCCACTGCCTGGGCCGAGCTGTTGCTGAGAAATTCCAGGCTTTTCYCCTGGGACAGCTAAAATTCAGAGCATCACAATGATTTTTATGGCACTGAGTGATGCCCAGAGCTGCTCTGATRGGGGTGCTTGTGAAGGGACAGCAGCAGGGACCCCTCAGGCTTTTTTGTGTGGCATCCACAGCTTCAGACAAGGGTTAGAGGTAGGAGGAGGAGTTTTCCATACCCCTTTTTTTTCCAGTTTTTCACACCCCAGATTAACTCCTGAAGACAAATTCCTCACATGGAATGCTCAGGACACTCACACAGCTGCTAAAGTGGCAGCAAAGTGACATAAATCGCCAGCCACCCCTTCCAGCCCTTCTCACCCATGCTAAACCTGCGCCTGGTTTGCTTTTCAGATCCTGCTGGGGGTTTTCCAGCTGGGCTTTGTGGCTGTCTACCTGTCAGAGCCTCTCCTGGGTGGCTTCGTGACCGGCTCCAGCCTCACCATCATCACCTCGCAGATGAAGCACCTGCTGGGTCTGAAGATCCCTCGGCATGAGGGCGTGGGCTCCTTCATCCTCACCTGGCTGGACCTGTTCAGGCACATCGGCCACACCAACATCTGYGACCTGCTCACCAGCCTGGTGGCCCTGGCTGTCATCGTGCCCGTCAAGGAGCTCAACGAGCGCTACAAGGAGCGCATGAAGGCCCCGTTCCCCATCGAGCTGCTGGTGGTCATCGTGGCCACGGCCATCTCGCACTGCTTCGACTTCGAGCGGCGCTACGCGGCCGCCGTGTGCGGGGACATCCCCACGGGCTTCAGGAGGCCCACCCTGCCAGATGCCAGCCTGTTCCCCAGCCTGGCCGTGGAYGCCGTGCCCATCGCCGTCATCGGCTTCGCCATGACCGTGTCCCTGGCGGAAATCTTCGGCAAGAAGCACGGCTACGCCGTCCGCGCCAACCAGGAGATGATCGCCATCGGCCTGTGCAACCTGCTGCCTTCCTTCTTCTACTGCTTCGCCAGCTCCGCCGCGCTGAGCAAGACCCTGCTCAAGGAGTCCACGGGGAGCCAGACGCAGCTCTCGGGGCTGGTCACCTCGCTGGTGCTGCTGCTGGTGCTGCTGTGGATCTCCCCGCTCTTCTACTCRCTGCAAACCTCCATCCTGGGCGTGGTGACCATCGTCAACCTGCGGGGAGGGCTGAGGAAGCTGTGTGATGCCCCGCGGCTGTGGCGGCTCAGCAAGCTGGACGCGGCCGTGTGGTGGGTGACSCTGCTGTGCTCCACGCTGCTCAGCACCGAGCTGGGGCTGCTGCTGGGTGTTTGTTTCGCCCTGCTCTGCCTGGTGCTCCGCACGCAGAGACCGCGGGCCACGCTCCTGGGCAGGGTCAGCGGCTCGGAGCTCTACGAGGACCAGGCTGCCTACAAAGGGCTGGGCAGCATCGCCAACGTCAAAATCTTCCCCTTTGAGAGCTCCCTCCATTACGCCAATAAGGACTATTTCAGGACTGTTCTGTCGCAGAGAACAGGGGTCGATCCTGTCCTGCACTCGAGGGAGGGGTCCCAGGCGCACCCAGACACAGCCAGCAGCGTGGGTTTTTGTGGTGCCGTTTTTGGGTGCCCGAAGCAGGCGCAGGGCAGGGCTGAGCAGGCTCCTGGTGCCTGTCCTCCATCCCCAGACATGCACACCCTGATCCTGGACTGCGGGGCCATGCAGTTCATCGACACRGCGGGGCTCTCGGTGCTCAAGGAGACGCTCAGTGACTACGGCAAGGTCGGGGTGCGGGTGCTCCTGGCCAACTGCAACCCCTCGGTGCGCCGGCGGCTGCGGGAGGGCGGCTGGGCCGGCCAGGGGGGCAGCGAGGGGGGACCACCGCCCTTCCACTGCATCCACGATGCCGTGCGCTTCGCCCAGCAAAGCGCGGACAAACAGGAGGCTGGCCCGGCCCCGGGGGACCTCAACTTCCAGGCGTGTCTGTAGCGCTGAGGGCGAGGAACGGATCCTGACGGCGACGGGCTGGGGAGCAG